GTAGTTGGGGAATTTAGTAGCAGTTACATTTTTGGATAATGACATTGTCCTTTTAGCAGGAACAGTAGTAGCATACAAAGACACAATCTCTGAATTGTGGAATAATTAGGTCATAAAATAATTTGCACTTTTCTTTGCCTTTTTCTTTATTGTACAAAACTGCTTTAATTGGTTTTCAGAGTTAAATGTTGTTAATTGCTGCCCAGAGTCGCATGCGATGAGATGGAAGGACGGAAGGAAAGAAGGATGGATGGATGGATGGATGGATGGATGGATGGATGGAAGGAAGGAAGGAAGGAAGGAAGGAAGGAAGGAAGGAAGGAAGGAAGGAAGGAAGGAAGGAAGGTTTTTTAATATTATAACTACTATGAGAAGTCTTACTTTCTTTCTGCTACTGACATGAAATGCACATTCACATGTATTTGGCGAAAGCTGTAAAGAAGGAACTATTTACACTTACACCTTTTGTGGCCTACATTTAAAATAAAAACACCATGCTCTTTCTAAAGGGCCTACCAAAAAATAAATTAGTCACAAGCTATTCCATAAAAGTGACCTGTATTACAAATTATATACTGTTAGCAATTACAGCTAGAAAGTCAGTACACAGTTTGAACATGTTTAATGAGCACATTTGAAAGGAACTCAGGAAAGCTTTGACAGCTTTATGTGCCCTAAGATGCTTGCAGCACTTCTGAGATTCAGACTAAAGTCACAGAATAGCCCCAATAACACAGAATATGAATTGTTACTTGAAATATAATAAACTTCCTAAATAGACAGGAAGATTCTACAATAAGGCATTACATGCAGAGGTAGTATTCAGCAGGTTCTGACCAGTTCTGGAAAACCGGTAGCAGAAATTTTGAGTAGTTCAGAGAACCGGTAAATACCACCTCTGACTGCCCTCCCCCCATTTATTCTCTGCCTCCCGAGTCCCAGCTGATCAGGAGGAAATGGGGATTTTGCAGTAACTTCCCCCTGGAGTGGGCAGGGAATGGAGATTTTACAGTATCCTTCCCCTGCCATGCCCACCAAGCCATGCCCACCAAGCCACGCCACGTCCACCAAGCCACACCCACAGAACTGGTAGTAAAAAAAAAAATGAATCCCACCACTGATTACATACTATGTAAAGCATCAGCAGATCTAAATGTTCAAGTCCACACATGTGTGTAAGTCAATCTTTTTCTCCCCTCTCTTTTCGGTTATTTTCTAAAAATTCTTCTGGTCCATATGAGAAATGGGGCTCAGAGACATTTTGGAGAATAGAAATTATGCCTCAGGCTGATGTATTGCTTTGTGGTATACTAGGTTTCCTTTTTTAAAAATTCAGTGACTTTATTTATAAAAAACAATAAACAAGGCAAAGAATTTGGAAGTACCAAGGAATGAATACCATTGTGTCTGGCACAAAAGATCAGGCCCATATGTTAAGTTGCAGCACAGAAGATTTATTCAAGCCTATACACAAGAATTGAGTCAACTAACAGTCAGCACTAAATTGATGTTAGAAAAGGGTCAACAGAATTCAAGGGGAAGCTGGACATGAATTGTTTGTGGCAACATAAAGACTCTACGCTGATAATATGTTTTACTCCACATTCCATTCTTCCATTGTTCCCATATCCCAATATCATATCATTGTATACAATGGATTGTATAAACCACAGCCATCAAGTGAAGGATGCTTAACCCCAGCATCGCCTTCTATCAGAGCAATAAACAAGAATTTCCAGAGCCAGATACCTGCAGGATCATCTTTTCCTGAAGGCATTTGCCAGTCCTTACTACATTAGGGAGGATGGGTATGCTCCAGATCCCCTTCCTTAAATATTGCCACCTGATGGAACCACAAAGCCGTGCCTTCTCAGTGATAACCCCAGCCATTTGGAACAGCTTCCTATTGAGATCTCAGGACTCTCTACATTTTTAACCTTCCAAAAGGCTATGAAGCTCTGGCTCTTTCTCCAAACATTGAGCTAGGATGGGGATTAAGTGTAAGGTTGATTTGGTACCTGGTGGGAAAGAGTACCTTTCTTTTTAACTGTGTTTTATGATTTGTTGTAAACTACTGAAATTGTTGCATGAATAACACAGCAATAAATGTCAAGAGAAGAAGGGAGGAATAGAGAGAGAAGGAGGAAGAGAGAGAGGGAGGGAGGGAAGGAAGGAAGGAAGGAAGAAAGAAAGAAAGAAAGAAAGAAAGAAAGAAAGAAAGAAAGAAAGAAAGAAAGAAAGAAAGAAAGAAAGAA